ATTTTGTTATAGTTGAATGCTTGCCATATAAATAACTGGACATTAATCAGGGTATCTATGAGTTCTTCGTACCTCTGAGTTTAGCCGTTAAGGCCTTATACTTGTACTGTGAGTGGTTGTCATGTTGAAACATGTCAAGTTCCATGTGCAAGGTTTTATATCTAATTGTTATAATGGTCATCTGACTATTTAACCGGGTCTGCTGTGCGAATATGGTATCAGAGCCAACTTTAGCATTTTAATAGTATAGTTATAATAGTAAAGTACCTTGAGAACGGAATTCATTAACACAACTGATATCACACTTGTTTATTTTGTATGAACAATATATATTATTTTTCTTATAGATCTTGTCAACCACAACCATCAGGTATTTATTGTCCTAGACACCCAACTATAATTAGCATAAAGAGAAGATTAGCATATATATCCAAAAGAATTAGCAGGACTTTGAAGAAGCAGAAGTTTTATCTTGGTTATCTTGAACATCCTTCATTTATCCGTAAATATAATAACACAGAAGTGCAACATAAAGTTTTAGAAGCAAAAAGAGCAACATATCAAGTTTTAGAAACCTTGAGAGAAGAAAGAGAGTTTCTAAGAAACCAGTTAGTCGTAACTTTAGAGAAAGGTAGACTGTAGTTTATGATATATTATCTTAATTTAGAAATTAGTAAACCTCAAAAAAGAAAGATAATCTTAGACCAAAATAGTTTAGTTTGTTATTTACTATTGAGAAAGCATAATCATATTTTGTATAGTGAAGAAAATCCACAAGCCAATAGTATTGTAGATCTTATTATTAGTCAAGCAGAAAATATAAAATTAGAAAATCATAAGCATAATTATTTGTTAAACCAGTTGTTAGAACATTTCCAGAAAAATTCCATAAAAACAATTAGACAAAATTTAGATTATATTACATCTCAGTTAGAAGATAATAATAAAAATATTCAAAGGTTTCCTAGCAAAAGAGAGAGAAAAGAGCTTGTTGACCTCATTGATAGTAAGCCGAAACAAGTAGAACTTAAAATCATTAGAAATAGTTGAGCAGTTAAAATTAGAAGGTCAAAAAATTCAATTAGTGCAAAAAGAGTTGAGTGAACAAGTAGATAAGTTGCATAATAAAATACAAAAATTATTAGTTTAATGACCGATTCTAGAACTAGCAGAAAATATATCCAAGCTTTGAAAGAAATTAGTAAGCTAGATAAAGAATCAGTAGGTTTAAACTTATGCTTGATAAATTATGTTATGACAATTAATGAATTTAGTAAATATATTAAAGTAAGCATAAGAACACAAAATTATAATATGAAAGGAGAGTATTAAAATTTGTGTATTTGCTTAATGTATATTGGTAAAGTGTCTGATAGATATAATCATAAGTTTAATTTAGAATTTCAAATTTTAGCTCAAACATTTGGTAGTAAATATGTAAATATGATAGAAGCCAAACCCATAGATAATAGTTTTTTAGAAGGAACTCAGTGGACATTACCTAATTTACAATAGCAAAAAATAGACAACTAGTGTCACATCCAAGGCCCGGGTGGCCCGTTCCACCACCGTAGCACGATATTGTCTGCTTTGGGCTTACCATTCTCTCACGGTTTTGTTTTTGGGAACTCACGAGCAACTTCCCAGTGGGTCACCCATCTTGGAAGTGCTCTGGCCTCCTTCTCGCTTAACTTCGGAGTTCCTACAGAACTCGAAGATAGTGAGCTCCCAAAAGGCCTCATGCTAGGTAGGGATGAGAATATACATTTAAGGATCACTCCCCTGGGCGATATGGGATGTTACAACCAGATAAAGTACAAATATATGAAACTATTTAAATTTATTAATATACAAATTTTAATTTATTTTTGACCAAAAAAGAGTTTTTTAATTTTATTTAACACTCTTCAAACTTGAAAGACTCAATTAATGTACCTAAATATTATTACCAAAATGTATTATTGAACTAATGTATTTAAATGTTAGTATCAAAATGTATGTACCGAAATATATGCACCGAAATGTATTATATTAAATTAATGTACCTAAATGTGTGTACCAAAATGTATGCACCGAAATGTTAGTACCAAAATGTATTATATTGAATTAATGTACCTAAATGTTTGTATTGAAATATATGTGCCGAAATGTGTACCTAAAAGTCATCTTTGCCAAGGATTAAAATGAAGTTTTCTAGTATATTTATATACATATTACATCAGTTGACTTTGTAAAGCCTTAGAAGGCAAGTATTAGAATACAATACAACAGTAAAGACATAGACTAAGTGAATCGTGCAGTGCAGCAAATCACATCATAATGGCAGATTTGTCTACTTGATTTGCTGGACTTGTAGTAATCTCTTTATCCCCCCTCAAGCGAAACAGAACAAAGTGAAGATTGAGCTTGGAAATAAGGATGGAGAATCGTTCACGAGATAGTCCTTTGGTGAAGATTGGCAATTTGACGTTGTGAAGGAATATGCTGAGCGGCAAGGACCCCGTGAGCAATTAACTCACAAACAAAATGGTAGTCAATTTCTATGTGCCAAGTGCGAGCACAGAAGATTGAATTTGCAACCATTTGAAGAGCGGATACATTATCAACATAAATGCTTGTGTGGAGTATAAAGAGGAAGACTAATCTCACGAAACAAATAGCAGAACCACCGTAGTTCAGCTATTGTGGTGGCAAGAGCGCGATATTCAGCTTCAGAGCTTGAGCGAGACACTGTGGGTTGCTTTTTAGCAATCCAAGTTAGAAGGTTCAGGCCAAGGAAAATGCACGCACCACTAGTGGATCGATGATCATCAACAGAACCAGCCCAATCAGCATCAGAGAATCCATGAAGAGAGAAGTCCGCTGAGGAACAGAAGAGGAGACCATGCGCAACGGTGCCCTTGATATAGCGATAAATGCGCTTGACTACTTGAAGATGAGTGGTTTTCGGATTGTGCATGTATTAACAAACTTGATTGACAACATAGGTAATGTTGGGGCATGAGAGAGTAAGATATTGGAGAGAGGGAGGATTAGAGAGGGAGCAAAGGGAGGTTGAGTTAAAAAACTTCAAAAACTCACGTATTGTGTTTTTAAGTTTAAAAAGTTGTTTTCGATGGAAGTATGACAGTAACCTAATTAATAATATTAGGGAAACTATAATTTTTAAACCAAATGATTTAATTGTTGATGATTGAATTATTAATTAAGTATCAATTAATGTGTTTGTTTTTTTATTGGTGACACATTATTTAATTTGTAAATTTAGTTTAAAATTTTGATCTTCATAACATTGTCTATAACATAATTGCAAAAATTGACATTATTGTTGGTGTTGCAACTTGCATGTATTCGTATTCCATATAATACTGTCCAATATCAGGCCATGTTGCTTTCCAAACAGATAAGGAAATTTTGAAAATATGCAAGAGACCTAGCCTTTAATTTAAGGGGACTCAAGATGCAATCAACAGAGCTAAGAGCATCTTCATGGTGTACACAAATTAAAAAAAAAATGTACTATAATAATGTGACAAATTGTCTCATAAAAAAAATTTATCGCTCAAATAAAATAGACAATTAAGTAGTCAAAATTTTATTTTATTATGTGCATGAGGCACTGCCTCAAACTGATATTTTTAGAGTTGCATCCAAATTCTCTTTTTTTTTTTTTGTTTTTTTTGTCAAAACGATAAATTTTGTTAAATTATGTGTTAGATTAGTTGTCGACGGAATTCAAAATCATACTATCATGCAAAAAATCAATTTTTTTTCACACTGTGTTAAATGACCACTTACATTTAATTTACACAAATAATAATGTGCATGAGACACTGCCTTTAATCTATGAAAGGGTCCCAAGTTGTGGTTAGAATCGGGGGTAGCTATCATCACTTTGTTGTTTCAATAGCTTTACCCTAAATCCAAATCACAAGTTTCTTCCATCTCCCACAATTCATCGCTCACATCATCTTCATCAGTGGGCTCCATCATCTTCCCATCCATTTACGAGTTCGATTGATTATCGTTTGTGTTTTTTGCAATTTGTTGCGGAATTTAGGGAGGATGTGTAGAGCTTCAGCTTGAGTGTTCGCACCATCACCTTTGTTGGCCCTTGTTGGTCCTTCCTGCTGTTTGCCTTCGTTAGCGATGTTGCATGTGGGATCTTTTTTCTTGTGGACTTCCTATGTCATGTGGTAGCCATCGTTGTTGTGGTGGTCATGGGAGGATGCTGCGACCTTACTTTTACTCAACAATGGGGAACTCGCAAGCAGTCAAGGGGGCGACATATTGTGTTGATTGTTACAGAGATTGTAGCTTCTTTAGGGTTTCACTATTTGGTGTTTTCTGTGTGCTGGGCTACTAGACCCACCACAATGTCTTATTTATCCACCTACGTTATAATCATACCCACCACCAAAAGTTAAAAAATTAAAACCTTATTTCTCCACCAACTATCATTCCAAAAATAATCTCGTATCATAAGACATAGGAGTAGAAATATCAGCACTCTTTTTCTTCTGTGCTAACTTTGTATTTGAATTTTAATCTTTACAGTTGCTGTTTGTTGGTAATATATTTACCATTTGACCAAAGAAAAAAAGCACCATCAAGTAAATGATTGATTGAGCTGTGCTAGTAACAGTAGTGCGAAGACTTCTAGCTAATGCATACAATCTCATATTATATCAACGGTTAACAATCATCCATCCACGTAAAACATTGAGTTTTAACAAAATACTTTCGGTACTGTTTACTTTTAACAAAAAATTATATTTTTACCTTTAATTGTTACTATTTACTATACCTTTAAAAAAAAAAATTTATTAAAAGAGAAATTTTTTTAAACTTTTAGTTAGTTTTCTTTAAAATCTATGGAAGATTTGCCGACTTTTCCAACTAGACTTACTAGAATGGTCCTTTGACGCGCACACATTTTTGGCCGTTAACCGAATAGTTATACATGGATGGTTAATTTTGTAATATAGCGCAAAGCTGATGTCATTTTCTCATTGGACAGCTTCGAGGCAACTTGTCATCTTCCTGATCAGAAAGTTTACAACTCACCCAAACACCGACGCATCTCTCCTTTACTGCTACTACGATTAAACTCTCTCTCTCACCATGGCACACTGGTCAGGTACAACTCTTAATCAATCTTAATCCATACGTTTAATCTTCACATCTTCAATATCTCGTGCATTTTCAGGTGATCACTCCACTGACGATTTCATAATTAATGAAAAAGTTTCAAAAATTTCACTTTTAAATTCTGGGTTTTATTTTTAAGCCGCGATTCATTTCCAATTATTGTGATTTAGTTTTAGCTTGTTTCTGATCTTGTGGTGGTTTTAGAAGTTGGGTTTTTGTGCAATTATTGGCTTAACTGATCACCATTACTGCTCTTAATCATTGGCTTAAGTTGTTTGATTCTTCGCGTAATCACTGTCCTGTTTTGTTCTGTCAACAGAAATTGCGTACAAGATTAGTTGATATCCAAAATCATATAGACTAATATCTTTTGGTTTAAAAAGGTAAGCATTTTGTTACTCTTGAACTTTTGTAATTTTGATTTTTTGCTAAGAAGTTATGCTGATTGCTGGATGCTCTGTAAGGAGAGGGTCTTGATTTTGTATATTTTGGCTTCAAGGGGTCTGTTCTTGTTCGTAGTAATCTCGATTTTCGATGGCTGAATTGGTTGGGCCGAGGTTGTACAGCTGCTGCAATTGCCGAAACCATGTTGCCCTTCACGACGATGTCATTTCGAAAGCCTTTCAGGTGAGCAATTTTACTTTGATCAAGTTGTTGTGGTTTTTCTGATTGCCGCTCATTTTGTTTATTGGATGACTAACGAAAATCCGGTCTTTTACAATGAAATGAATTGGTGTTTACTTCACGACATTTGGAGGAAATGAGGAATACAATTTAGCCTTTTCCTAATCTGAAATGAAGATTCAGTTCATACTCAATTAACTAACGATCTTCTTTTGATATGAATTGGTGTTTAGTTTTCACTACATTTGGCGTAAATGAGGAATACGATTTTAGCTTTTTCCTAATTTGAAATGAAGATTCAGTTTGTACTCAATTAACTAATGAAACTCCGTTCTTATTTTGAGATGAACTGGTTTTAACTTTTCACTACATTGAATTTTGGAGTAAATGAGGAATTAAAATTTCGCCTTTTTGCATGTTGGAAATGAAAGGAAGATTCAATTTGTACTCAGTTATCAATGCCAGGAGCCGAGTGGTTGTCTTGTGTTCGGATGAGAGTTTCTATTTTCTGCATTGTGTTCGTATGGTTATTTTGTGTATGTATGTACGATAGTCTTCAGGATTTGGGTATGATGAGTGGATTGCGAAAACCTTGATTCGATTCTCTATTTTATTAAATCATAGGGTAGAAATGGTCGAGCGTTTCTGTTTTCACATGCAATGAACATTACAGTAGGGCCAAAAGAAGACAGACAACTCATGACTGGGCTGCACACGGTTGCTGATGTCTCCTGCTGCGACTGCCATGAGGTGCTGGGTTGGAAGTATGAACGCGCATATGAGCAAACACAGAAGTACAAGGAAGGGAAATTCATTCTTGAGAAATCGAAGATAGTCAAGGAAGACTGGTAGCATCCATGAAGGCTTTCAAATTCATCTGTCTGCATGTCAAACGAAAGTGTATGGATGCTCGTGCTTGTATTTATCTTGTCAAATTCTTAACAGTTGAAAAATTCAATTGTTGTTGTTCGTTGTGGATTCCTCGTGTCTGTTGTGTGAATATTGTATCTGGAAACCGACATATAATTAATTGGAATAAGATGTGAATAATTCATTCAGTAAGCCGGCTAGAAGTATTCATTCAGTAACTTGCGTCGTAAATACTCCCCCCGAGCAGGCTGCTGTCTTGAGCAAGCCGGCTGTCAATGACATTCCGAGTATAATGGATTTCTTGTGAGTGAAGTATGTGCAGGGCTCCCATGTTGGAGGAACAGCATGTTTTGTTTCAGATATGCATGAGCATTATGATTAGTAGTAAATAGAATAATAGCATTTGCTTAAGAACAAAATCGTTTAGCTCCATCGGCTTCTCAAAGATGAACGAGAATGGAACTGAACGTAGTAAATTGTTTCATAGATGAGCAGCCTCTTCAACATCGTAAACTTCTCCATCCTCATCAACTTCATCGTCACCGAACTCATTGAACTACAGAAAAGAAGATCTTTTATTATTTCTTTCTTAATGAGAAAGGAATACAACTCAGTTTATATACATTTGTCTAATTAGGCTTAGTAACTAATTATACTTAATTTAATCTCTTAACACAGAGATTAGTTACAAGATTGTTATAACAAAAAAATACAGCTGTAAAAGCTATTAATTATCTCAAGCTAATTGGTGGAGCACCCAGAGAAAGCTTGGACCGGAGATAGTGAAACCGTGACTTGGACAGAGACTTTGTATGAATATCAGCAAATTGATGCTCAGTATTTACATACAAAACTGTGATGAGATCTGCAAGAACAAGTTCCCTGATGTAGTGATAATCAAGCTCAATGTGTTTCGTATGAGCATGAAACACGGGATTGGAAGCCAAAGAAATGGCAGACACATTATCACACCATAAGGTAGGAGTGTGAGAGAGTGGAAAAGTAAGATCTTAAAAAATCTTACAAATCCATGTAATTTCGGCAGCAGTAAGAACAAGAGATCGATATTCAGCCTCAGTTGAAGATCATGTAACCGTTGGCTGCTTTTTAGCACTCCAAACTAATGAGATATGAACCCAAGTAAACGCAATAACCAGATGTTGATCTTCGATAAAAAACACAGCTGGCCTAATCAGCATCCGAGAAAGCTGTAAGGTGCAGAGAACCTTTTTTAAACCAGATACCTTGATCGACAGAACCTTTGAGAAACCGTAGAATACGTTTGACTGCTTGGAAATGGGTATCTAGGGGGCAATGAAGAAATGGACACACTTGATTAACAACAAAAGAAAGATCTGGCCGTGTCTAGGTGAGGTATGGGAGAGCACCAACTATGGACTTGTATTTCCTGGGATCAGACAACAGATTGCCGAGATGATCTAATTTTGCAGTGCCAAGTGGAGTGGCACAAGGTTTACAGCCTTCCATTTTAGTCTTAAGAAGGAGATCCATATCATATTTGCCTTGGGACAAGAAAATGCCTTCAGATGAGCGATGAACTTTAAGGCCAAGAAAATAGTGGAGAGGCTCGAGATCTTTAACAGGAAACATAGAACTGAGCTTGTGAATGAATGCTTGACAGGAAGAAGCATTTGGTCCGATGACAATGATATCATCCACATATACTAATACAATCACAAGATGAGGAAAGGTATGCACAAACAACGAACAATCAGATTTAGAATTTGCAAAACCAAGTGAGAGAAGTGCATGACCCAGTTTGTCATACCAGGCCCGAGGGGCCTGTTTTAAGCCATAAAGAGACCTATTGAGCTTGCATACAGAGTTGTTGCATAAACACCTCATCTTTCAGTGATTCATGCAGAAACGCATTGCTAATATCAAGCTGATTTAGGAACCAATCATTCTGAACAACAAGAGTTAATAAGATGCGAATAGTTACTGGTTTAGCAACATGACTAAAGGTTTCTTTGAAGTCAATACCCTTTTGTTGGTGAAACCCTTTGGCTACAAGACGGGCCTTGTATCGATCAACTGTGCCATCGGGTTTGTGCTTAATGCGAAATACCCATTTACAACCAACAATGTTTTGATGAGGAGAAGAGGGGACAAGAGTCCAAGTACCTGTGCTTTGAAGAGCTTGAAATTATTCTAACATAGCTTGATTCCAGTGAGCATGTTTGGATGCTTGCAAATAAGTAGTAGGCATAAAGTTATCCATAGCAATTGGATGTTTGGTTGCAGAGAGCGCTTTAGGTTTAAAAATACCTGCTTTGGATCGGGTAATCATAAGATGAGAATTGGTGGGGATATTTGACAAAGTTGGAGAGGAAGAACTTGAGGACAAATGTAAAGATGGAGGGGGAGGATAAGGTTGAAAAGAAGACGACAGAGATGAAACAGGTGATGAAGGTGAGACTGGTGATGCTGCAGAAGGTGCTGGAGCATGTGAAGAAATGGGAAATGGAAGAATGAAGGTTGAAGAAGAAGAATTCAAGCCTTGTGACATTGAAGAAGGCAGAAGATTCTGTGCATCATGAAAAGGGAAGTGCCCTTCATTAAACAGAACATGTCTTGAAATATAAGGGCATTGAGTTTGAATATCCAAGTACCGATATCCCTTATGCTGAAGACTGTAACCAAGAAAAACACAATGAGTGCTTTTGCCATCCAGTTTAGAAGAGGTATACGGTTTAAGCCAAGGATAGTAGCTGCAGCCAAAGACCTTCAATCTTGAATAATCTGAAGACTTACAAAATAGAAGTTCCCATGAAGATTTGTCCAGTTGAGAAATTGGTAATCGATTGATGAGATACAGGGCAGTTGAAAAAGCTTCAACCCAGAACTGATGGGGAACTCGAGAAAAAGCCAAAAGAGTCATTGCAGTCTCAGTGAGATGCCAATGCTTTCGTTCTACATATCAATTCTATTCTGGTGTGTGAGGGCAGCTATATTGATGAAAAATACCATTGCAGGATAGAAAAGAATTGAACTGTGAGCTGGTAAATTCACCTCTTGAATCTGATCTCAAGACTTTGATTTATTGCCAGTAGTATTTTCTACATAAGCTTTGAAGGAGACAAAAAACAGAGAACACCTCAGATTTATATTTCATAGGAAACATCCAGGTATATTTTGTAAACTCATCCACAATTAACAAGTAGAACTTGTAGCCATTGACAGAAGGGATGGGAGATGGACCCAAACATCACAATGGAGCAATTCTAAACTAGTAGAAACGAAACTTGTACTAGAAGAAAAAGACAACTTGTGATTCTTGCCTATAGCACAATCAGTGCACAAGAAAGATACAAGTTTGTCACCACTGTGAGCAAGACTATGCTTATTTAATATTCTCCAAAACATAGCAGAAGATGGATGACCAAGTCTTTTATGCCATGTTTGCAACGATTCTTTGGTATTGAAGAATGCAGAATGAGGAGCAGGAACAGTAGAGAGACTATGAAAGGGATAAAATCTGTCTTCGACTGGACCGCGAAAAAGCGTCCTCCCCGAAGAACGATCCTTGATTTCAGAACCATCAGAATCAAGGGTCAAGGAACAATGGTTATCTTTCAAGAATTGATAAGTAGAGAGCAAATTAAATTTCATCAGTGGAACATGAAGAATGTTACTCAATCTGAAATTAGCAAGTGGTGTTGAGACTGTAGAATTACCAGTGTGATGGATAGCCATACCTTGTCCATCACCAATATACACCTTGTCTTCGCCAAAGTACGGATGTGGAGATTGGATAGTAGAAATGTCATTAGTGATATGAGAGGTGGCACCCGAGTCCATCAACCAAGTAGTTGGAGATTGTTTAGAACTGGTGTGAGCACACATAGCAGCTAACTTTGCAGGAGGAATTCTACTAGCAAAAGCAGGGTTCATTCTCTCATAACAATCCAGAGCTTCGTGATCAAATGAGTTGCAAATTTGGCAAGAAGTTCTGCCACCAAAACTATTTCGACTAACACCAGGATTATTACGATTGCCAGAGTTGTTATTATTCCTGTAGTTGCCATAAGAACCCCTAGAATTGGAAAAGTGACCACGAAAATTGTTGAAATTCTTATGAGCATTACCACAGCGTTGAAAAAGACCGCGACCACGATTGTTGTTAGAAAACTTTGGTGGAGGATTGGAGAATGACTGATGAGCCGCATAGGCTTAAGGAAAATTGTAGAACTGTGGTGTAGGAAGAAGTGAAGGTTGAAACTGCGCAGCAAAAGCCTGAAAAGGCTCAGAAGCAGAAGAATTTACACATTTTTTCTTGCGAAGCATAAAAACCTCCTTGTTGATCAGCAATCCATGAAGTTCATCTAATGTTGTGGTCGAAAGGCGGAGCATGATTGAGTCAATGAAAGACTCATACTCATCAGGCAATCCATTGAGAGTAACAGCAATCAAATCATGATCACTAACAAAAGCTCCAGCAGCCATTAACGAATCAGCAAAGCCTTTAATTTTCTGCTAATAATCAGAGATAGAGAGATCGCATTTGTGCACTGAGTGAAGACGAGAACGAAGTTGATGAATGTGAGCGGTAGAGACTCCACCAAATCGATGCTCAAGATTCAACCATAGATCTCGAACTGATGTGACACCAACTGTGAATGGAACTATATCCTTAAAAAGCGTAGAATTCAACCAAATCAAGATATTCTGATCTTTTTCATACCAATCGAAAGCAGGATTTAGAATATTGTGACCAGATGCATCAAGAACATAAGACAGCAGGCAAACTTCAGAGCCATCAACGATGCCGATCATTTTGTATCGTCGAAAAATCGGAGCAAATAGAGCTTTCCAGACAAGTTAATTATCACGCTTGAGCTTTGTAGGGACCTTGCAGCTAATATTCTGAACAATTATGGAAGAAATTGATGAGATCGAAAAAGAATTAGAAGAATTAGGGTTCATCGGTGTAAAATTGGGGAAAGAATTTGCTGGATGAGAAGGAACAAATTCAGGCTGTCCAGGAGAGGAAGTCGAAGACGCCATGGCTGAAGATCAAAGAATGAAGAAGATCAAGAGGCGGAGGCGGTGACGGTGGCGATGGCCGAAGAACAGATATCGAAGGATCGAGAGGCGGTGAAGCAGAAAGGCGGTGATACCATATAAGAAAAGAAGATCTTTTATTATTTCTTTCTTAATGAGAAAGGAAT